CAAAGGATGTACAGAATAGTTGCTAAAGTCTACATTAGTTGAAAAACAAGATTTGTCAAGAAAAACTGTGCACCTGATAATTCGTATGTCTGCATCTCAATGAATTAGTGTATCACAGGATTTCTGGGAGAAAACTTGGTTCATTCTTTCACCATATTCTTGAAATAACTGTTCATCAGAGTGTACTACCACTTTTGGCAAAGAAAATAAACTTTTCTTTCGGCTCAAAGTGCTAGATCAGCTTTGAGGAATTAGGAACCAGAACAGAAATCCAGCTCTTGTGGATGTTTACTTATCCATTTCCCCCTTCAAAACCCATCTACCTTTAGGGAGCTAGTTTAGGATACAGATGTAAGAATTGGCTTTATATATTTACTTCAAACAATGTATTTTAAACCCCACCTTTCCTGGTATAAAACTCAACCACCTAATAGTCAAAACATGTGAAGAAGAAATTAGCTACTGTATCTAGTTTGAACTAGGAACTGCTAGAATAAGTTATGGATCTGGTAAACTGGTATTATAATTCTCCAATTAAGCGCTTGATTATATCAAACCTTTGTAAACCTCTCCTAGATTTTAAAAATTGCTGATGCTTAGTATATTTTTGGTACTATGGAAACTGAAGTAGTTGATTACTACAGATAATCCACCATAATTATTTTTATCACAAGAAATAATCAGTCCTGGAACAAAATTACAATGAATTTCCTGTAAGTAAATGATGTACCCTACTAAAATACAACTGTTATTTGTTAGCTGCACTAATTTTCTGAATTTTTTAAAGTTAGTACTCATCTATGAACTTTCTTAATTTTCCTAGAAATATATCACGCTTTCATGATGAAAACTGAGCTGAGATTTAAACCCTCTTTAATTCACTTTCACATGAGAAGCTATTTCAGAGAATTCAGGTAGGAACTGAAAATCCCTGGTGTCACAAAGGAGACAGCCAACTTCTTATTTAGGTTAAAAAAAAAAAAATCAACATATAACTTTTCGAGGCAAGACTACCATCTTGTGGCCTTTGTGTACAATGACTAGCTGAAGGCACAGATTTTACTAAAAGATATTCACAGGAAGAAATAACACTCATTTCTACTTCTATTTGTTGCTAACAGTGTAAGTCTTTGTGCAGGTAAAGCTTATATATCTTTCAATGGAAGTTGTTTTGAATCAAACAAAGACTTATTTGACTTTATATATGACTGGCATAACAGATGCAGAATAATATTCAAAAGCACAACACAAATGCTTTGTATAAATCAGTGCTGATAAAGATGTGTCCTGTTAAAGGAGAATTACAAACCAACACAACTGTGCTACAGTCTCAGTTTGACACACATGAGGTAACTGGACTCTGCTTTTTTTTCCTGCCAAATAAAGACCAGGGGAAATATGCAGCTGTTTGTCCTCATGAATGCTGAAATTTGTTTGGGATGGACTGCTATGGCTATCTAAGGTGGCTGATTTAAGGTGTTTACAACTTGTTTTTACTGGATTTATATGTATTTAATGTGTTATTAGAATATAACTTTCATTTAAAGTGAAACTTCTGTCTATGGTATTTCATCTGTATTGTGCATGAGACACCTGCCTTCTTACTACAAATGAGATCAAAATTTAGTGTTATTTAATGAAAACTTGGGAAAAAACTGTCTTGATCACACACAGAAAAATGCTTAGATTTATGCTTTACAGGGCAACTACTGCTTTACTAGATAACATTCACTACAGTCTTACGAACTATATGCATGCAGCTGATACATTTTACCATGTCATGTGTCTGAAAACTAATATTTGCAGGGCTTACTTCTAATTAATAGCTTATTAGAAGATATGCACATTTTTTAATCTTACAAAAATGGGTATTGCTCTGCTATCACAGCATATACTGTTTTCTGAGTTGAATGGCCTTTCAAGAGAGGAAGTTCAAGCTTCTTGCTCACCTCAGCTCTGCTACCAAGTGCAGGCACCTGGGCGGTCCAAGGGCAGATTGTTCCAGCAACAGCTGAGGGAAAAGGAACCTTTGTGGCCCTTGGGCTTTTCCCTGTCTTTTGTCATGTGGTCAATAGGAGATCCAGCTGGTCCTTTGTGTTCTATTGGTTACAGATGTCACCTGGCATCTTTTCTGGCTTCTTGTGGCTTTAGTGTGAAGCTATGGGAAGAGTCTGGCTATCCTCTCGAGGATGGTGAAACACAGTTGAAGAGAGCAGGATGTGGCTCCACTGGCCTTTCTTCTCCAGAGACACTCAAGTTAGTTGTGCAGATTTTCCTTGCATATTCTGTGTTCTTTCTGCCTGCTCACCTGGGCCTCTTAGGCATTTGCTGTAGCTTGCTAAGGTCCTTGTTGGTGTGGTGAGTACTAAACTGGACCACTCCTGCTGTGGTCCGACAAATGTTAGAATTGTCTTTGCCCATACTGCTGGCTTGAGTCTGATTACCAGTATGGAGGGAATGGTGAGTAATGGAACCAGTGTGGAACACCTGCCTGAGAAAAAAGTGCTTTGAAAAAGATGGGTCCAGGCTGTAAGGAGCCTCCAATAGCTATTGGAGACTCTATCAAAGTCTTATTAAACTCCAGATAATGAACTTCTACTGCTTTCATTCCACTGAATGACTCATTTCATAGTAGAAAGTTATCAGGCTGACCAGGCAAAGTATATTGACAGTTTTTTTAACATTTACTTTACAGTACACTAGAAAACCAGAGCTGGTATAAAGATCTTGTACTTGATCCAGATTCTAATAGTAACAAAAACTGTTCAACTTTTGGCTGCTGTTTACACTTTTCGTCTTGCTTTTCTACACTGAACCAAAGAAATATGGGAGAACTTCCTGAAAAATAATTATCACCAGTTTTCTGTCTGTCTTATTTATGAAGAGAATTGTAATCTTTAGTATGACTGTGTATCTTTTTTTTTTTCCCAAAGGTTTTACTGCTGCTCAGTGCTTGACATGACTGATTCAAAAAACATCTGTGGACAGCCTGCCATATACTTCAGTCTTTCACTATGATTTAAAAATGTAAGGTAATGTATAGTACCAGAAACAAACAAATAATCCAACACTATTATTTTCTAAGGCTTAAAAAGCACTTTATGTATAACACAAGGGTAGGAAATGTATGCTTAGCCATGTCGCTGGAATATAAATGTTAATGAAATATGTAATTACAGTGTTAATGATCATTAATTCTCAGAGGCAAATGATTATTTGTGGAAATGCATTGTCACATTAAAAATTAACAAAACAAATTAGTTATAATTGCTGGAAAACTGGCATTACTTGTTCATAATACAGTAGAATCTGAGACTTCATATAGTTACCTTACTAGAACTAGAGAAAAAATTGCTTCTCTAAGTAAAATATGATGTCTATAAATCAAATAAATTGTTAACTACATTTTGTAGTTTTATTCTAGTCGAAAAATATTCTTGATCATCATGAGTATGTATTTTGATACCTTTCAAGACAAATCATAATTGTAATTTTTTTTAAAATAGGTTAAGCTAAAAATAAAAAACCCACAACAAAGCCATCAAAATAACCCACAGAAAAGAAATAATTAATTTTCTTCATAGATTTTTCATTAAATGCTTTACTGTGTGTTTTCTCTGTAGCTTTTTATCAGTAGTTATTTTTCTCCACTGAAATGTAGAACTGCCCTAGTCCCACATGATTTTATGTTGAATTCAGTAGTATCTATTTAACTGAATTTCCTCTACAGATACAGAGGAAACATCTTGGGTTATTGGAAATGCATGACTGTATGTGCTTTTTATAGAAATATACCATTTCCAAGCATTTAGCTATGTAAAGTGGATTTCAGCTTCTCTGGAGTACTTCTCATTTACCCCAGGGACTGTATCTTGCAGGAGTAGTACTGAGCAATACATCAAAAATATCTTTTTATATCTGTGCCAAACAGATCTTATTAAAATAAATAATTTACATGTTCTCATCACTCTTCTGGGAGCATGAACCCCCAACTGCACTAAAAAAAATAGCTTGAAAAGTCATTTAATACATCTAGGTATCCAGAAAAACATCTAAATTAACATCCTCTAAAATTGCAGTTGTTGGAAGACACACTTGGTGGACTATTTTTCATGTACCCTTCCTAAATCCGAGAAGTAAAGGTTACACACTTAAACACACATAATTTTTGGAAGTGTTCATCTGACTAAAACATTACCCTTTCCAATAAAAATGCTTTATATCAGAAAATCATAGAGTCAGGTTGGAAGGGACCTCTGCTGAAAATAGGGTCAACTAGATCGAGTTGTGCAGGACTGTGTCTAGTTGGGTTCTGAGTACCTCTGAGGATGGAGACTCTGCAGCTTCAGAGGACAACTGATTACAGTGTTTCATCACACTCATCATTAAAAGGCTTTTTCTTATGTTTAAAAAGAATTTTCCATATTTCAATTTGTACCCATTGTGTCCATCATCATTGCAGGAATAGAAATATTTTCTTCCATACAGATGTTTTTGGTTGGTTTTAAAGATGATAACTGTTGCAACCTACCTAATTTAGAGTGGACCACATGTTAATGAGTGAGCCCTGTATCTGTTCTGATTGATAAGACACATAGACATTTATACGCTAAGTTGTTAAAATGACACAAAGCAGTTATCATGCATTAGTTTTTCATTTCACCTTCACTCAGATTGGCTTTATCTTCAGCTTGTGTTCAGTAAAAATAAACCCGTCATGTCCACAATATTTAAATCTTTTTAAACCATCTGTTCTTCTCTGACAGAGACAGTAAGTCTATTGCAAATGTGTTATATATTATGGTACTTTCCCTGTTGTTCCTCCAATCTTTTCTTGTGCCTTCTAAAATTATTTCTCCCTTCTCATATCCTTCTAAAAATCCTTGTGCATAGAAAATATCACTGGTACACAAAAATAATAATTTTACATTTCTAGATACTTAAAGACTAGTGAAATTGAAAGCATTAACAGCAAGCCACAGAATCTTCTTAAAGGAAAATTTATTGATTTTTTTTCTTACAGAAGTCTTTTGATAGGTCCTGGTTATTTTTCCTACAACTGGTCTAAGAACATGCAAAGAGATTATCAATCTCCAGTAAGTAAAGTACTTCGCTGACTGTTCACAACATGACATCATTGAAAAATGTAATTTCTGAATCATATTTCAAAGTTAGTTAACTTATAATAGACTCACATTTCCAAATTAGCTATCACCCATTATTGTGTCTAAACAGGTCACAAATTGCCTTACAACCAGCACATCTTGTCTTTTAATGACCATTCTAATAAACTTTTCAGCTCTTCTGACTGTCAGCATACTAATCCATTGAATAGGACTAAGTTTTATTCCATTGATGAAGTCTTCAGAGTTAAAATGTCATATATGAAATTCCAGAAATACCATCAGAACTAATAAGCCAATGATAACATTGACCTGATCAATAGGGTGGAATTATTTTGTTTACTGTGATTAAAGCCAATATCAAAGCCAACTCTAGACTTTTTTGGTCTACTAAATTTTTTAATTTCTTGGTGTTCACTTAATTTGATGTGTTGAAAACACATCTATCCCATAAAATAGCATTTAAGTAGTACAGTGCATTTAGAAGGAAAAAGTAGAACTTTGGTTTTGGGGTTAAAATTCTTTGTTCTGTTTATTATCATAGAAGCAATTATTGTAGACTGTGCAATCACCATATGATGGAATTTTATCTATAGGGATGATGTAGAGTTTTGTTATCTCACAATAATTGTACTAGTCTTTTGCATCCCTGCTCAAGCTGTCCTTCCTATTAATTTCTATCCAAAAAGGTTGCTTCATCAGATGACTTCTGTCTCCAGATCTGATCATTTCACAGCTGCACTTGATTGATGTTCCTTTCCTATTCCAGGATTAAAACTTTCTAGAACTGTTTGCAAATAGTAGAGATGGGAAAGTAGTGGTAGAAGGGTTGAATTGACAGGTGGGCTAAAATATTTCTGTCGCTGCCTGGCGATCAGGATGCTTTGTGGTAACATGTATTCCTTTTTCATATCTCAAATTCATACATCAGTTCATCATTAGTACGTCCCTGTTTCCTAGTTGAAGCTGGATGAGTGGATGTAAATTTTGCTTCTCTTGTGTATCTTTCTGAACTGTAGATGTCACTCTAGGGCTGGCCAATTGTTGTGTGCTTTTTTCTTATCAAAGTAGATTATCAAGTGGAGGAGGAAAGTGCTGAAGATTTTACTTGTTTACACCTGAAATATTTATATATTTGTATGTTAATGTGAACATACAGGAATTGCAGTAAAACTCTTGCACTGAATTATGAGTTATGGAACCCAGAAAAAACATCAGTTTTTCAGTATATTATCTGACTGAATATCTTAAGTATTTTTCAGGAAATATAGTTCTGATGAATGCTAATTTTATTGCATTCAGGAGACTTCTAAAAGCCAGATAGATGGTTTAAAAATTTTATTTTGTTTTAATCCCTAACAAAAAGAATAATATTGACTCTATATGCATTTAGACAGGTACTTTATGACAACTATCATGTGAAGTGTCTAAAGTTGAAAGCCATCTGGTAATCTGTTAGGCTGGCTGGATGTCAGCCTTTGCATTCACTTATGCTCAGATTCAGTACTGTGTTTACACTAAATTTAAAAATTAGAGGTCCCAAGAAAGTCAATTGCATTTGATAAATTCAGAATCTTCTTGTGGACAAAACTGGGATCCAACCGACGTGGGGAGCCAGCAATGTACTGTTAGTAAATTAACATGGTAACAGTCTGATGAAAATACAGACAGAATTTTTATTAGTCCAGTTAAAATAACACTAACACATGACAAAGTATTACAGACAGGCAGGTCCTGACCCGAGTTGTTAGGGCAGTATAGAGCCTTGTGCTTCCCTCTAGTGGCAGCAGATTTTAATTTACGGAACTATAGATGAAATGTGCAAAAAGTCATCATGACGGCAATAGCTGGCGTTGTGCTCAGCACCTGGCTGCATCGTAATTTAGACAGTAACTTCTGTAGCAATCTGCTTCACTGCTTGAAGGAGGAACTGACTCCAGAGGGGATTTCAAAATCTTAAAGGACTGCTTCTCCGAACCGCTCCTGGAGAAGCACCTTTCTCAGCTCACTGCACAACAGGTCACGGCCCCGAGGGCACTGCCAGCCTTCCCTGTGCCTGCCCAGCCCCCCGGGCTCTCCTCACCCTGCCCACAGCTCAGGGCCCCACGACAGCTCCCTGGGGCTGTGAGCCCCCTCCCAGGTGACCCTGAAGCAGCAGGGCCAGACTCCAACTCCTGCCCTGACCAACCATGGGCTCTGCTGAGGCAAGACCACCTACTGGCTTAAGTCTTGGCCCACCCGCAGCCTGTCCCTGTCCCCAGGGAGGTGCCCGATGCAAGGGCTGGGACCTGGTGCCCCTGGCTGCCCTGCTCCTGCTTGGGGATGGGACAGGCCCTGGCTGCCGGGCCATGCCATCACCCACCTAGGAGAGGCCCCGGAGAGCTGCTGGACCCAAGAGGGATCAAAAAAGGGCGTATATTCTAAGGTCCAAGATGAGATGGGGCCTGAGTCATGGACAGTGGTGGAATGATGCCCTGGGACAGGCCAAACAAGAATAGAAGGTCTTGGTAGTGCCCTCAAGAGCCTGACTAAACTACCCTGGAAACGCCAGCTATTTAAATACGATGTTAAAACTTGGGTGTTGAGGATACTAATGCTGTTGCTTTCAGGTGTGACTATGCTGTGTCTTAAATTATTAAAATTGCCATCGATGAATTTTAGGATGCATTTGCTTTTATTTTATTCCTCTAAAATTTTGTCTAGGAGTGAGTAATGTTCAGCAGTATAAATCCCTGCAGAAGATCTGTGGTTTTATGGGTACAGTGTTCCCCACTCTACACTATTCACTTTCTCATTCCCATACCTAGAATTGCTTTCTGAAATCTGCCAAGAGCTTCAGGTGCACTGTTAAATGGATTTCAAGGCATTTGAGAAGATAAGAATTCATAACAAGTTTTGAACTCTAAAAAAGGTAAAACAAAATTTGAAACCTCTACTTAAACTGGAAGAAATGAGAGCTTTGACGGGCAGGTGACATGACCTTTTCTTAAATAAATTTTTGGACAAATGGGATCATGAAAGGATGCAAAATATTAGAAAAGCATTTTTTTTTTTAGAATTCTTTATACTAATACATTGGAATACTTATTGTAATCACCCTAGTGCTGGATTAATATGGTAGAATTGAAGTTTCTAACTTTTGTGTAGCCAAGCGGATGACTTTTCTAGAAAGAAAATATGCTTTTGGAAAATAACTGATATGAAATATACATATGTGGAAAATGAGTGAAGGTACTCTCCCATTTGAGTACACGTTTACGGACATTATTTATCTGAGACAATTAGCACTGATTTCTAATGAGGCAGATAAAATAGCGGCCTGAAGGAGACCTGCCATATTACTTTTCCTGGTCTAAGTGCCCTGAATATTACTTGTTCAATTGCCGTATGAATTCAACAACTTTCTCTTTTGCCTCTAAATCAGAAGACGTGGTAGATATGACTTCATTTCTTTAACAATACTTCTGAAAGAAAATCAGTGTATTTAATTATTTACTTCATATCATTTGCACAGTGGCATACTTTTTTTTTCCTCCCACACTGGTCATTCTCCTTATAGCCAGCATCAACTCATTTCTTCTCAGTGCCTCTGTCGAATATAATCAGATTTTTAAACAGTCATTTGAATCCTTAAAAAACTGGTTCTACAACTCCATATGCTGAATCATTGCCTTAATTTTTTTCCAGTACATCTTCAAAACTTCTGTACTTTTTGAAAGTGATTGCTTTCACATTCAGCTTTTTGAATAGGAAAACGGAGGGGAAAACTGCTGCAAACCAGAAAACTGTCTTTCTCAGAATAGTCTGCAAATAGAAACTCTTTATTCAACCCATATTTGCTCCTTCGTGGTCAGGACCCATAAGGAATTGTTGAGGGCCCTTGGTTTGACTGCCTGTGCTCCAGACCATCTGTGATCCAGCCCAGCTCTGGGACTTTGGGCCTGCTGCTGGAGAGGCCTGCTGCCATGAGAAACAGGTGCCTGGCTCAAATAAATCTTACTCTATTCTCAGATGATCATACTGTATACTTTCTCTGGATGTTCTAATTTTTCTGACCTTTGGCTTTTTTTAGACCAAGAAGACAAATCATAAAATGAACTCTATGGTTTTGTTTCAATGTGAAATCTTTTACTAGAATGTAAAGGTTTCATGAAAAAAAAAAAATTCTACTTAATTTTTTAAACTTTTAAAAGTCGTAGTCTGTGTTAAATTGCTTTTCAATGTAACTTTAAATATATCTCCATCAGAGACTTTTCCTGACAGTTTATCAAATCAATGTGTTAGGTAAAATATTTGCATATAAATTTTTTGCAATGTTGCAGCTTTTTACTGTGTCCAGTGAAATTCTGCATTAATATGATTCTTTCTGAGTGTAGGCATTTGTACATATACATATACATATTAACTACTCATTGTGGTGACTCTTGAACTGATATGACAATGTAAACCATGAGAAGTCTTTACATAATTTTATTAAGTTATGTGTAGAGACACCTTTTCTGAATAAAGAAATCAGAATGGCATTTAAAAGCAGTGATGTTCATGACATATATGCATCAGTCTTCCATATATTATCTACAAGTACAGTAAGATGCTTAGTTTCCCTTAAGGACAGAAACAAAATGTCTGAAAAATCTCAAAATAACACAGTTGTATTGAAAAAAAGGTTATAATACTTTGTCATATTCACACTAGAACTGTTGAATGTTTTAAGTACCTAATTGGCTGACAACATTTATTTCTTCAAGAACAATTTAAAAATAAGGACTATTTAGTTTTGTGGCCTAAAAAAGTTCTATAGTTTTTACATTAAGCATTGGGTGATCAAATATCAAACAGTGTTGTTCTACTATTGAATGATGATATTTAATTGTGGGGATGGAGGTTCCCACAGTTCTCTGGATTTAATTGCAAATTTTGATGTTTTTTTTTCTTCACCCCTTAAAACTTCAATTGAAATAAAAATAGGATTTTACAAAAGTGCAGAATCAAGCTTTGTTTAGGGCAGGATTGTCTTAGCTTAGTGATATCAGCTCCAAGAGGTATGTTTGCCTGCCCCCATAATATGGGTCTTGAATGTAACAAGCTTTATGACAGGACACTTATAGAGCAGAAAGTTTCCTATCATGGGGTCATCATGAATATCAAGAAATACTCAAATGAAACAGAAGTTGTTTATCAGGTTGGAGGGGTTTTTTTGAGAACTTTGGAAAACTTGACTAGGCTTTTCTATTACAAGAGTCATGTAAGTATCATGAAAGGTAACCCTTTGTCATAAACTAAACTACAACTTTTGAAGCAAACGGTACTAAGGATACTAGATAGTAACATTATTTGGTGTAAAGATTTGATGCAAGCTTTTTCCCTTGGATTGACATTTAAGTCACTTAAGCAGTGCTGTGTTGTTTATTTTTAGACAAAGTTGAAGATTTATTACTGTGAGAAAACAAATGAAGGAGTAGCATGCACAAAAGTCAATAATTTAGGAGATACGGTGTTAAGACCACAGCAAGTAGAATTAACCTGTGACATTGTAGCTGCAGTAAACAAACTGCAGCAATCAATAATGACATTAATCAGCTTCAGATAAGTAAACAAACAGATTTGTGTCAGATTTCAGGTCAAAACCCGGTCAAAGGATTCCTCATCCAGCGGATGAACAAATGTGTTGGTGTTCAATCAAATCCAGACTGAGCAATTGATGAGATTAATCCATGTGCACTTAAAAGATGGGTAGAGAGTTCTTCAGCATGGAAACATGCACCTCATATCTAAGTTGACTTTACTAGAAGTACAGGACTAAGTATGGATGTTGTGCTCTGAACTGGTAAGGTCCATGGTTATGGAAGCCTCTGTGGTTTCAAAGGAGAAAAAAGTATAGTGTGTCAGCCATGTTTCTCCCTTCCCTCTTCTCCATTCATTTCATGGTACATAGGAACAGAAAGAGTGAAGAGAAAGCCCAGGACATTGGTTATGAATGTGACTGTGCATATGTAAAGATCAATGGGGAAGATAAGGTAACTCTCACTTAATAACTTTGAAATGGTATTCTGTAGTACTTGAAACTATAGTTGCCCTGCCAGCCTGTTGAAACCACCACAGATATTCCAAGATGCACTTTTCAATAAGCATATTTTTGTTTCCTGCCCCCCTTCATTCTACTCCTGTAGTATTAGTGAGAATGTAACTGGAGAATACTACTGCAAGCAACTGAAAATTGCTATCGGCCTTTCAGCTTTGTATTTGTACTGTGAAATAAGTCAAGCTTTCTTTAGATGCCACATAATTAATACCAGTGGGTTGTCTTTTCATACTGGCATTTCTTTACTTCTCCTACCTAAAGATTAGAAAGTGTTTCTGCTTTTATCTCTGCTATTCTGGAAAAGTCACAATCCAAAAGCAGAGATTTAATTGACAAATATACAGTAATGCTATTTCAATATTATCAGTGAGTCTTATATAATTTTCAGTCTGGGAAGAAAAGTACAGATAGGAGTTTTAGCTTTGTCTTTGCTTCTCACTGTCTTGCTCTATTTTTAATTTGCAATAAATTAAAATAATTTTCCCCAAGTTGAGTCTGTTTTGCTCATGACAGTAAGAGTGTCAAACACACGTGTCAAAGCAAGAATATAAGAACAGGGTAAGCATGTGTGATACATACCAGAGTATGCATCCTTGTGTTTAGTAGCCCTCAATGAACAAATCCTTGGAGGAAAAATCAAATTACTTTTTCAATCCTTACAAGCATTTGTTGTCTTCAGTCCCCTTTGGCTGTTTTCCAGATTACTTATCCATCATCTGAAGACTTTTGTTTGTAACTGCCATCCATTAGTTTCATCTGATATCACCTAATTCTTTTTGCTGTAAGAGACAGTGACAAATGGATTTCTACTTTTTTTCACTGTCCCTCATGACCATGAAGACCTCTTTCATATCTCCTTTAGTCATCTGTTCCTCCATTTCCACTGTTCAGTGCACAGAAACCATTTCAAGTCCCTCTTGTAATCCTTTCTCTGTACATCTTCAGAAATTCCTTTGAATCCTTTTTCAGATGGAGGGGTTCAGTACCCATAACTGCACACTGTAACCAGGATACTACTGAACCATGGATTCATAGTGTGCCACAAATCCCCTTTTTTTCCTTTTTCTTTCTCAAGTTTCTAGCTTTAAATTGCTTATATTTGATAGCTTTTGAGTAGTGAGTAAACATTTTATATCTATCTATTATAGTTCCAGGTTTTCATCTGAGCTGTCAGTCATATGTAACATTTTCCAATGTACAGCATTTTACATTTGTTTACAATTAATTTTATCTGTAAGTATTAGAACTTCTGAAATTCTTCTCTTGGTCTTGATTTAGTAGCTTAGCATCAATAACAAAACTTGTCACTTTATTATTCACCCCTTTTGGCATTATATTACACCGTATGGGTTTCCTCAGAGATCCTTCTGATGAGATGCTACTGTTATCTCCCTCCACTGGAAAAATGTCATGTCCCATTTTTTCAATGTTTTGATTAATTATTCATCCATTCTGCACCATGACACTGCCTACATAGGTCTTTATGGCATAAAAGTACTGTGAGCAAGTAAATTTTCACAGTCTGCAGAATGGAGTAAGTCGTGTTACAACTCTTGTCTAAGCTGGGCTAAGAAGTTGTGCTCTCCAAAACCTAACAGAGTTTCTGTTTTAAAGAACAGAAATCTGTTTTGACATCATGCTATTCAGCTGATGCACTGACTGTGGTCTATTAACTAGTTGAAGTGCCCCATGTTTTCAGATGTGTAGGAAAATATTTTCTGTAGCACTATAAGTAAGATCTGTTAATCCATTGTTTCTGAAAAAACAGAAAGAATTAACATTTTTTTTTCTTTATTCTAAGATTTAAACTGTTAATCTGGCTGTTTCTAGAAGGAAGGGTGTATTAAAATGAAGAATTTTCTAGACTGTGTATGTAGTTGTGTAGCAGTAAAGTTAACAGGAAAATAGAACAGGAAGAAGATAACAGTCTTTCTCAACAGTAGCTAATGTATGTGACAGGAGGCTAATGTTTCAGTCAATTTTTGGCATGAGATCATTTTTAAATAGATTACCAAGCATAGTTACTGAGGGACAGTAATGTCTCAGTTGCCATGCAACTATGTACATTGCAGGAGAAAAGAACAGATGTTCGTCCTCTTATGCAAAAAATATAGTTAATGAAGAACATGTTTCATGAGAAAAATGTTGAAACATGTAATTACTAATGAAGGCATAAATAACTATACCATGGCCTTTTTGTGTCACTTGTATTTAAGTTAAAATCTTAAACAAAACATAACACAGTTATGTGTTACAATACGTAATTGTGCAGTACAATATGTGTTACAATACCTAAAAGGTTATCCAGTTCATGAAACAGAAAAGCAACAAAAATATAAACTTTCTGTTCAGAAAGTGTACTGCTATGTTGTTGACATTTGATATTATGAGATATTACACAAGTTGAAGTTTGCTATGGACCTGTAAGAATATGAAATTAGTGAGTTGAATCTGGCCGGTCAACGCCTTGTGTTCATCCAGAAAAAAATTGTCAGACTAAAAAAGTCTGTAAAACAATGTATCACTGTGCCATTGCCAGCAGTTGTCATGTGTGATGGTATCTTTTTTGTACTTCAATATGAACTTAATTTTGTGGGCCCCAAAAAACTGAAGATATTTAATATTTGATTTTTAGTAGGAATATGCTATGCTAGAATGTAATTTCCTAATTTTAGGTCCAGGAAAGTTTACCAGGATCAATCTCTTCAAGTGAGTTAATACCTTAACAGACGCCATTTTGCAATGCAAAGGTGTGGCAGATGAGTTTCTTTTGCTAGTTTTGGAATCACATGCAATATACTTTAGGTATACTGCAATATATTCAAAAAATAAAAATCTGTGCAAAGGATGAGCATTCCACAGATAGACTTTGTTGTGAAGCAGAGAGAAGATGAATTCAGGATTGGTTTTTTTTCTTTGTCTTTTTTAAAAAGATATCAACCTTTTAACACCACATTCAAAGCCTACTATTCATCTCACCTAAAATTTTGACAACTATTCTAAAATTTAATAACGAGTTATTGAAATGCCTAAATCGTCCTTTAGGTGAGAAGAAATGGCAACTTCAGACAGAGAATTTTTCTACTTATCCTGAACATCAAATGTCTCTGAGAAATAGTTTTCTTGGCTGTAAAAGGGCTTTTTACATAGCTAGTTTCAAATGGATTCCTAAACTTCAGATAGTTGGAACAGGTAAAATCTATTTTGAGCTTTGCTATTTTCACAGCTCTAACTGTTGTTTATGTAGATATGTGTTAGAAACCATGTGGGATAGTTCAAAATTTTGTTTGAAGATAGATAAATAAAAGCACAGTTCACATGTCCAGGGAACAGAATATGACTCTCACTTGAGAATTGCTTATATTTCATCCAACTGCCTCTTTGGAAAAAATGTACTATTTCTTTTGTTGCAGAAAAAAATTACAAAGAAATATGAAGATATGAATGTTTATGATCTGAAAGATTTCCTTAGGGTCTGTCTATGGTTAAAATACATATGTCTTAAAGCACTTTTTTTTACTTGCCATTCTTTCTGTGAGATTTATGTGAATCTTTTGTCGTGCGTGCTTCACTGGTTGCACCTTTAGCAGAGCCACGTGTCAGTAGGGAGGAATGTATAAGTAAAAAAAGTGTTCTTGCATGTTTTTCATACATGAAAGTTGAATATGGCTGGAAAAGTTGGTCATTTCTTGGACCCTTGGTAACTAGTCTTTTTTTTCTTTAATGGTATATCTGAGATTTTTCTTCCACAGTTTAGATAAATAAATAGTGTAGCCTTACCAAAGTATTATTAACAAAATTAGCTTCACAGTATATCTTTCAAATATGTTTGGGGTTCTTGTTTGTTTAGAAAGACAGTTTTAATGTCTTCCTTTTTTTAAGGAAGTGATGTGACATTTTTGTACAACAATTTTAATATTAGTCATTATTCTTAGAGATTATATGAAAGAATGAAATGTCAGTGTTTTTATTTAAATAGTTAATAATTTGGAAAGTATAAATCTCACAGACATTTATGGTCTAGAACTGGTTTAGAATCTGATTGTTAAATCTTCAGTCTGTACCTTTATTTTCCAGGTTGATTGCCTTTCATATACCACACATATTTTTGCCAGTACACTTAATTTTTAATCCTCGAACTTTATTTTCCTTCCAGAGGAAAATATTTAAGGGGTGTTAAAAGTTAATTGAACTAGTGGATTTTTAGGATATAAGATTTATGAAAACATTGAATTTTTTTCCCTACGTTTTCTTGTGTCTTGTTGGCTTTTTTTATATCTCAGGGATACCATCACTATCTTTGACTTCTAGCCAGTGAAAGTCCCTTACAGTTTCTGAGCATCCATTGAAAAAGTCAGAATATATCTGGATATGCTTAATTACTTTATATAAACACAAGTCTTTAATTAAGTTAAAAGCTAAAATAAAAGCAGTTTTAAAAACATCTGATTTTCTTTTCTGTTAAAAAATAAAGATTATGTTTAAAGCAGAAAGCAGGTTATGCTTAAAGCAGTATTTTTTTCTTTGTTAACTGTAGTTTAACATGAATATTTATTCATGTTAACAAAGAGATGTAAGAAGGTCCCTACAACGGAATTGCAGATAATAGAACATAATTATATGTTTATGTAGTCAATTATAATGTTGCTTCTATCAAGCTGCACAGAACGGGAAAAAAAAGACTTGTTATATGCCATACCTGATGAACATGACTGTCTCACTGTATTTGTTAGAGAGAAATGCAACTGTACTGAGTAACTTTGCTTGTGTAAAAATTGTGTTGAAAAAACAGAATAAGGTATTGTAACAATAAACTCCAAGGGAAAAAGAAAATCTTTCTCCTCTAAGTAGTAATCTGGAAATTTTCCACAATGATTGGATGTCTTGGTGAAAGATTTAATTGGCTTGGCTTTTATTTCTTTCACAGAATAGAGCTGAAATTGTAGCATGGCTTTGCATAATGTTTTAATGTATGTCAAATATGCTACAGAAATCATGCTTATATTTTTGTATGACATTCAGTATCAGGTTTTGTCATTGCTGAAGGAAGGGCAGTTTTCTAGGAGTATACTAGAATAAGTATATGATAGCTCTGGAAGAGCAGTCAATCTGAAGTATCTTCCGAGTTCTGTTTTGTAATCACAAGACCACCCGGATGCCCCTATCAAAGGCTGACAGGTATCCTTGATTCAGAAAGTTTCATATTTTTTATTCTGTCTATATCTTGAAACTAATTTGTTATGTGTGTGAAAATATAAGTGTGAGAGAATCAAGGAATGTAAATATTTAGTATTTAATTTAAGAGGAAACAGCTGCAGGGTCGATTACTTTCAGAGAAATGCCATCAGAAATGACTAAATATTTTTGAAATAAATCATCAAAAGTAATACATTAGTATTCATGTTGTTTCTGAACAAGTAAACATTAGCCCGCAGTGACTGAAGTAAACAAGTTGCATTACCCAACTAATTTTTGTAACAATATTAAAATTTTGTCATTAAAATCATGTCTCATGTTTATTCCTGGTGACACAACTTAGTCTATTCATGCATCATACATAATTAATTTGAAATTGAAAAATATTTTTATACATAAATTGTATAAAGAAATTCTTAATAATACTGCAGAACTTTTCATGTTCTATTAGACATAGTAAAATATTAATACTCTGCTAGATAGAGTTATAATCATGACTTTATTAAATAAATATGATATCTTATTAGAAATTGCTTTCATTTACCCTTGGGGTTGCAGTTTCTTATTTGTCTTTTATAATAAGAAGGCATGGCATAACAGATCATCTAAGAACTCTGTGTTGTTGCAGAACTGCCAAATAAAAAGTAATTTAAGGTACCAGCAGTAAAAGAATAAGGATTTATCACCTTATTCCAACACTGTGATACTTTACAGCAGTATAACATGTAACATTTCCTTTCCACTTAAGAATATACCAATTAGTATACCCTTAATCCAGAGAAAACAAACTTAAAACTCTGACAGATTTCTAATGTTAATTTTCTTAGTAAAAAATGTTAGAGGGACAGTTGTCTTGTGCTTCCCATTTAACACTTTTCTTATGTTTTGGAATTTGAGAATTTGTGGTTGACATACTAAAGAAAGAATTAAACAGAAGAATCTGAGACTGACTTAATTAACATTTTTCTATTACAAAGTGATTTCCCATGGTCAGATGGGGTAGAAGAAGGTTGATATCCATTCTCATAGTTTTCTGCATGACAGAAGTCAAGCTACATTTGTAGATAAGTCAAAATGATGACCCATTGAATGTCAATATCAGCCTCATAACAGAACTTCCAGCAAAGATTTCATACAACTTTTCTGTGGTTCAGCTATACTTGCCACTGTCAGTAACCTTTAATTATTCTTTATCTTACAGAACCATGTAGAAGTTTTACTTCAATGCCAAGCCTCCCTCTGCCAACACATAGGAATCAATAACACTTGCCTCACAAAGTAAACTTTCAGAGGAAAGGAAAAGGTAGAAAAAATGAAAAATCAGTGACCCTGAAGTCATATTATTACATCCTGGAATAGTACATTTTGCTGCTACATAAAAAACTATTTTTAATCTTTTAATCCATGAAAAACAATAGCTATTAAAACACCTATAAATTAATTAAAGACTAGTTAGACTATTAAAGGCTAGTTAGGCTGTCAGAATTCCTTTGAATTACAATTTACAAGAAGTGTGTGTCAGGTATGGTTTGGCATCTGATTTGCCCATAGTGTACCAGAAGGTAAAGCTTATGTTCAGGATGTGTAACTTTGAGACAAGTAATTTTTAATTTTCTAGTGCAAATGGAAAAAAATATCTTCTATTAAAATGGATTTTTCAGTCTTGTACTGTTCAGTGCAGTATTTGTGTCATGAAATGCATTCTTGGTTAAAATATGAAATAGGAAAATCATGTTTCTGAGGAAAGAAATGTCTTACTCATGGTATACTACATTTCTCTTTTCCACATGACTCTGCGTTTGTAAACTGAATTTATGAACTTGCATCAATGTAGGCTGAATTCTCTGATATTTACAGTACCCTAAAAATTCCACTTCAGCAATTGAGTCATGAATCTTTCACATTTTGTATAAGTTAGTCATCAGTGTCTCAATTTCTTGATTGATGGTTCAATATTCTATTATATGTTATATTAAGCTTATAAATGGGATCTTAGATCACTGTGTACAGATCATAATATAAGTTCTTCAATTTTGATTACAGCAGGCAGAAAATGCTACATAAATCATTTCAAACCCTGTAAATCAAATTATATTTTCCCTTTTGAACTGTAAACAAAAATCCATCACCATAAAAACCTCAAGTCTTTTAGTTACTCTGGTGTAAACTGGACTATGTCCAATAACTATAGACTTTACACATAGCAGCATCAGCTTATAAATTTAGCACATCCTAGTTTTTAGAGGAAAGCAAAAAAATATATATATTTATACAGAGAAAGCAATACTTGGGAGAAAAAAAATGTAGTTTCTTTGGGGTCGGACAGAGACGGTCTCAAATGTGGGACCTTGACTTGTTTTTTTGTGTTTGGGGTAGGGGTCCACACCGACTATTTTCAATCATCTTCTTGTCATTCTTGTCGTTGTATGTGGTTTCCAGGAAAATTTGATGTATTACTTTCCCCAAGACTAAGGTTAGGACAAGTATACATATTTACCCAGATTCTTCTTGATTTTCTTGAAGATGAGCATAATTCATTCTTCCCAATCCTGAGGAAACTTTCCTTTTGAACAAGACTTCACAATGGTATCACCCAGCGCTTCTAACCACCTTGGGTACAAACCAGTGGATCTCATGGGCTTGTAGGTGTTCAGTTTGTTTACGTGCTCCCTATTTCATTCTTCTGCTGTGAGTTGTGTTTCTCCTATGCCACACTGACTTGAGGCTGAGGCCTGGGAGCCTGAGGAGAGGTTTATCACTAAAGACAAAGAGGAAGAACCTAGAAAGAACCTGTTCTATTTCTGTGGCCTTAGTCATAAAGTTATCTATCTGTAGGAACATATTTTTACAGTCTGTCTTTGACTTGGCAAAGTGATGATAGAGGTTCTTCTTATCAATCACTTCCACTGCCAAATTCAACTACAGTTAAGCTCTACCTTTCGTTATTCCTTCTCTTCATGCTTGGGTGATGTTTCTATATTCTTGGAAGAACCATCTTAGTTTGGGTACAGTTTTCATAAGAACTTTCCATTTGCAAAAAACCCCAATATATTTTATAATTACTTTAATAACTCTTCTATTACAAAATGTTGCAAACTGATGATATTATTATTGATTATTCTTGATGCAATGAATCAAAACCAAGGATCTCCTAACTGAGTCATCTAATCTTGGAGACTTTGCATGTATAATGAGACCTGTGCTTTGTTGATAAAAGATAGATGTGTAAAATCTATCATAAACATTTTGTTCACATGTGTTTCCCTTCATCATGTCACAAAGATTGTACAGTTTCAAGTGGATTTAAGCAACATACATAATTAACAAAATACATGAACTGAATAGACAGTATGCAAGTAAGATTTAAAAACTGGTTACCAGTAAAGTTCAAGTGTATAAATAGAGATTGTATGTTTAGAATACCAGTATTTGGCTCGTTTCAGTAAATCTTGCACAGAGCAATGATTGCACTCTTGTTTCTGTCAGTGGGCCTGATTCTACATTCACTAGTGTCATTTAATACCCTACTTTGTATGTAGCCTCTTGTGAAATTAAATCTGTGTAATTATTCAGTGTAAGTAAAGGTAATGAATTTGAGCCCAGTGGGATAGTCTCAAGAGACAACCTATAATTTGTTGACGTATTGACACTGTTATTGTTTGCTTACTTCCATCTGTTTCTCAGTTCAACAAAAACTCTCTTTATGAAGCTTTTACATGTTTCACTCTGCTAAATTCATGAAAATCAGATTCAAAACATGGCTGAATCAAGCAATAGGAATGAGAGCAAATGATAAAAGAAGAATGAAGGCAGTGTTTCCACTACAGGCATTGATGGTTAATAAATATCTACGGTATTTTCAACAATAACCACAGAACTTGTGCTCATGATTTTAGATTCTCTATAGACTCAAAATGGAATCCGTTTTTTGCTGCTACTCATATTTCTGGATGTGCTGGTTTTGCCTGGGGTACAGTTAATTTCCTTCATAGTAGGTAGTATGGGGCCATGTTTTGTATTTGTGCTGGAAATAGCATTGATAACACAAGATGTTTTCTTTATTGATGAGCAGTGATTACACAGCATCAAGGCCTTTTCTGCTCCTCATAATGCCATGACAGTAAGGAGGCTGAGGGTGCGCAAGCTGTTGGGAGGGATCACAGCCAGGACAGCTGACCTAAACTGACCAAACATACCATGCAACATCATACTCTGCATATAAATCCCAGGGAATAAAAAGGAAGAGGAGGATGTTTGGAGTGATGGCATTTGTCTTCCCAAATCACTGTTATGTGTGATGGAGCCCTGCTTTCCTAGGGGTGACTGAACACCTGCCTGACCATGAAAGTGAATTTTTTGTTTTACTTTGCATGTGTGCATGGCTTTTGCTTTACCTATTAGTCTGGTTTTGTCTCAGCCCATGAATTTTTTTATTTTTCTGATTTTCTCACCCATCCCATCAGGAAAGGTGAGTGATTGGCTGTGTGGTGTTTAGTTACCAGCTGGGATTAAACCACAATACTGGTACTGTTCTCAACTAGTTATCATATAATGAAGTTTGAAACTGTCAGACAAGTTTATACTGGGTGTTCATAAGGATACCTTAAAACCATGTATTGCAAGAATGAAACCCACTTCGCCTCTATTCTTTTAAAATACTACAGATAATTTAATGAAGGGTCAGAAAAGATACATTGTTCAACAGGAATACTTTAAAATTAAGTGGAAGAAATTCACACATTTTAGGTCATGAAATACCAAACTGAAGTAAATTAGACCCAGTCTGTAATTCTCTAAACAGAACACACTCACTTCTGCAGTTTGATACGCAAAGCCAGCAGAATGAAATAAACTGCAAGTTCAGAAAAGGAAGACAATGTACATATTCATAACACATAAAGTTAACGTGTATTATCAAGAACTGTAATACATGCTTTATTTCAACTGTTGAAGCCTGCAGGAGGATATCTGATCTTGAAAAATACAGTTGATGGTGGGAAGAATTGCAGTGCAGATTGTCACACTTGTTGCTTTTGTCTCAACCATTTTGATACTAGCCATGATTCTGAATTCCCCATATAGCATATAATCCTTCTGTATAATTGCTTATCCTTTTGCAGGCTCATAACTTGTTTGGGTGTTAGGTGGGAGCAAGGGGGAAGAGATGGTAGAGGAGGAAGGAAACTGGTACTGATGGTATTCTTATCATTATCTGTATGCAACCTTTCCTGTACCATTGATAGTGCTCTACAGTTCAGCAAACCTACTCATTAAGATTGCATCTAAAAACTGTATTGTGAAAACAGACCGAGGTCTGTGTATTGGTAATAGAGAAACCGCATATTTAGTAAGACAATAATTATATAACTCACCAAGGTTGGTTGACAAGTATAATTTAATATAAATTTTTACATATACTTTATAGTTATATTCTGAACTTTAAAAAACTATTTATTTAATATGGACTGTAGCCCTTTTGTTTATAAAAATGCATATAAATTATTCATGAAACATAAATGAAATACCTTTAAATAGTGCTTACTCTGCTTTTGTAATTTTTTGTATCAGTGAAATTTTTTTCAACTCTATAAACATTATAAGAAATAGCAGAAGAGTATAAGATATGCACTTTATGAGATTTCTACAACACAAAATACCAGGAAGAAAAGCTATACACTTTTGAGTAGAGGTTAGGTTAGGTCCATCATTCAATTACAAGTTCAGAAAGCAGTGAACAAGAAAAGGTCAAAAAAATACCTCAGAAAAAAATAATTATTTGCTCTAAAGGGTGCATTGGCTTTTGTAGTTGCAGTTGTTTTCAGAATGTCACTTGTCCTTCTGCAAAAGATGCCTCTGGAGCAAGATAAACCTATTGCCACACTACCAGGCCTCTGAAATCTCTTATTCTCTTAATCCCTCTCTGGAGGTGTCTTCCCAGCACTTGATTTATCTCCCTCAGCCTTATTTCTGTCAGGAATCCCAACTGGAAGACCTGTTGGCCACAGCAAATTCATCTACTGCTAGCACTGCAGTGAGATAGTAGGAGATAGTGTGAGGTCCTGGGGAAAAAGGTTTTTTCCCCTGGTGACATTTAAGGCGGTGGGGACACAGTCCTGGGAAGAATTCCAGAAAATGAACTTTTGCACAATGTAACAGGTGTGCTAAAACTTTCCATGATGTCACAGCCTTATGCCTGGATAATGTTCATACCTCTTTTCACACTTATTATAAATTGAAAAAATACTTTATAAAGATGCTTTATTGCCACTCTGTCTCCGGCATGTGACTATTTGGAGAAAAAATATGGCAGTTCTCATTTTATAGAATATAATGCAGCACTTCAAAACTAATTGTCTTCATTATTGCCAAGCAATCAAAAAAAAACATTTTAACTAAGGAAAACAAACTGTTATGCTACCTTCAAAATCCTGTGTTTAGATTTTTTCTTCTCTGTGAGATTTTTTATAAGATGTTTTAATACATCTCCAAATGATGATGTGAGATAATTTAATTTAAAATTCTAAATACTTACTCATAGCTGTGATGCCCAAAAAGGAGTCCAGTATGAAAGAGATGATGTCGTGAGTTCAAAAAAAGGCATTGATGACACAGACAAAAGTATATCTGAAGTATATAAACCAAATTGATTACTAACATGCTGCAATTATGTGAAATTTATGCTTTCAAGACAATTTCACATGAAGGTAATGATATATTAGAGATAACTACAAAACAATAGCAATAATACATAAACAGCTATGCACCACTTCAGAAATAAAATAAGATGTGGGAGAACATTGATATAATACTTTTGCAATAGTTCTCAAGTGTGTTTCAGACAACACACTGTCTTCTGTTCATCTTTCCATGGGTTATGCAAAATAAATTTAAGAGAGGATAAAAACATATTTCCTTGACCTTGACAGAAAGGATTTGAATTCTTTTCTGGAGTCATCTTTTCAGTAGTCTTTACAGGATATATTTATGTTTCATTTTTTCCCCTGAGTGGAATAAAAACATTAAAGTTTACTTTCACTTATAGTATTCCCTTCTTCTTTTGTTTCTAAAAGTTTGTTTTTGTACAGAAGTAGAGCTTCCAGTAGATAAGCACTGATTTCTTTTGTATTTTCTCTAAGGAATAATAACTGTCCACAAAATTGATTACTTTAAAATATTCTTAATTTCTTATTGTTAAAATATTTTTTTCTTTTATTCCTAATTCTTTCCTCATTTGGGAGGGGAAGAGGGTGTTATGAGGTAGATATTCTACTCAGGTTAACTTTAACTCTCTTCTTGTACTGTTTGTTTGCTTTAAGAAATACCATTCAAGGTGTCATATATCCCTGTTGGTTTTGTGTGCTAGAAATCTCTGTTTGAACAAAATTTCTGAGGAATATCATAAGAATCCCGCTTGGAAGAGTGAGTCTTGAGGACCTGAACAGAACTGTAAAAGGAAATAAGTATTACCTAGTGTTCCTAATGAACACTATGATCTGAAATAAATATGTTAATTTTGGATAAGTTAAAATACAGAGATTCTAAATAATATCTCCATGAAAATAGGCTTAATAGAAGCAATACTTTCTGCAAAAGTCTTCTGGGAAACCTCTTACTTTGTTCTAATTATCACATGTAGTTAACTTAATAATTGCTCTGAAACTATATATTTCAAAATAATAAAAATAAAAGATTTCTGATTGCACAGTGCATCAAAAGCAGTGCTTTAGATAGTATTTAATTTAGTAATATCCAGATATTTCACATAAAGGTAAGAGATATTTTTTTTCTTTTTTAATCTGGAAACAAAAAGATTCTGGCATTTTATTGTTCTGAGAAGGAAAGAATGCAAAAACATTAAAGTTTTATATTTGGACTATCATACAAATGTTTCAGTATGCTGCAAGAATTGTTGCACTAATTTCTGCAACATTATATTTGTCTTAATTTCCCTCATAATCTCCTGAAAGCATAAGCGTGGCTTATTAAGCTCCATCTGCCATTCTTGTCCTTATTATTTCAGAAAGATGGTCTCAGTACACTTTTCTGGATCTTCATGACATTGCACACCGAAATGTCAATTCCTGCCTGAAACCATAAAGAAAACCCAAATCTGTGGGCAGCTTGTGAGAGTTGACAATCTCACCATTTCACGTTTATGAAGAAGAGAGGTAATTTGTTGTTTTGGCTTTGTTTGGTTTGTTTGTTTGTTTGTTTTTAATTGAAACGAAAATCCACGTTGTGACTATTCTGTTCACACTCGCTTCATAACTGGGTAGAGCAGAGCTGGATGGGTAGCATGGATCTTTCCTTTCAAGTACTTATTGAGCATTTCAACAAGAAATACAACCAGCTTCACATGTGTGTAGCTTCACATGTGTCAATAGATAAGGGAAATTAATTCAGATGCACATTTTGACAGAGATCTCAGCACAGCAGTATGTGCTAAACAGTGTCAAAAATGTAGCCAGCAGTGCCTGCACATGTTCGTATCTACCCTGCCACAGCCAGTGGGTCAAATCAGTCCCACATGTGAGGAACTTCTGGTTTATGTGACCAGATTTTATTCACATTTTCAGAGGAATCCTTCATCTCTGTGAGCTGCTGAGTGTTTTCATTCTCTATTTTGGTCATTAGGCTGGGTGACATAACTGATTTAAATTGCCACTAGAATGTCACTGCAGTTAAGAGAGAATTTTTTTCCTCATATAGAATATATTCAACCTTCAAATTTATTTCTCTATTTATTTGTATCTTGATTGTCAAACCACTTGATAGAGGATCCATATAAGAAGAACTCTATGAAAAATTTATAGATATTATTTGGTTTACAATTTGCATGCCTGATAAACAGAGTGTGTTCAAATAATCTTCTTTACATCTTTTCCTTTTTGAACCTGCTTGTCTGTCACAGCCAAAGTTTGGAACTACTAGTGAGTAGATATTTGAAGACTTAGTGTACAATCGACATTCAATATACACATCTGAGAGACAAAACTGAAACTCTTTTTCTATTTTAGCAAAAGATGGGATAACAATCAGAGCTGGTATTACTGGAGGGCAAAGTGTCAGGAAAGCAATCAGCAGATAAGCAGATAAAATGGTGGTGGAATGGTATCACATATCAGATGAGGCTGTGAAGTAATGATCAAACAAGGCTAGAGAAAGATGGAATGGATGTGGAGAATACTTCTGTCACTGGCTCCCTCAAACACCCCATAGTACTTGATATGAATCTGCTGAAGAAAAACAATTGGACAGTATCATAGGAAACATGACACTTGCCACAAAAAAAAGCTTTAGAAGCACATTATGATATTACAGAATGTATTGTCTCATTTGCCAAGATTATCTTCATTAGGTGAATGTAACGTTATTTGAACTATTTGTTGGTCTCAGAAGTTTGAGACTAACATGCATTACATGACCCAGATGATTAGTACCAAAAAAGGATCTTAGAAAAGGCAATCTTGCAATTATTAAATAAACTAAAAAATAATTTTAAAAAGCTTGAATTAGTTTGAAAATTCACATTATTTTCTTAGTGAAGTATTTAATGAAACCAGATGATTTTGTGTTAACAAGAGATTGATAAATTATTTCTACAGATTTGTTTTCAACAGTTTCCTACAGTCTGCAGTATTTAGCTATTTTGGTGTGAATTTTATTTATCTTACAGGTATGCAAGTCTGGAATAATTCCGATGATTTTTTTTGAGTGACTGCATACAGTGAATAGGCCTTGCCTACTCTTTTCAAAATTAAGGTAAGTGGCTGAACTGCAATGAAATATTCTGTTTTTCTTTTCTTCACAGTTTTTGAATATACAGTGGTTTATAACATAAGATCTCAGGTGAAACAATTTATAGGTTTTAGAAATCAGATCTATTGTACAATTATTTTCTTAGATCATGTATTTATTTTAGTGTTTTGGCTGGATAGATTTTCTACAGTAGTAGTCCACATATGGAGAATTGTATTAGAGCAGGTTTCTTTTTGTTTTTTTTAATAAATGCACAGTATCATGATGAAATGAGTACTGTATAATTCATATAAGTGCTTTAAAAAGACATAAATAAAGAAATAATATACTGTAGTTCCTGTATAATGGAATATCTATTGGGAAAAAAAATTGCTTGGGAGTTAAGTTCCAAAAGTTAGTAATCTACCCCATAATTTATACAGCTCAGAGTCTTCAAAAACGATGTGTGTTTAATCATTAAGACTATGTATTCACCATTTTCAAGGTAACTCAAAATTAACTTTTTTATAAGAAAATACTTAAAGGGGTTTATAAGAAAATACTTAAAATAATATTAAAGCAATGACATTACCACTTATATCCATTAGTTTAGGGTTTAAAGCAATAATCCAGAATATGAAGAGATCTGCGTATTCTGTCTAATGCATGTACTCAATGCCATTATGTCCCATTCTGGGAATGGGAGCTCTGTTAAGAGCTAACTTGGAATAATTAACTGTAAAGAGATATAAAACATTGTTTTCTAAATAGTTAACACTCTCAGTGGGTACACGAAATGCCCAATTTCCAGATCTTGTTCCAAGTAATGTTTCCTGATTGAAGATATCAGTAGGAAAGATTAATGATCTCCTGGCAGGTATTGCATTTTTCTGGGAGCTGGCACTGTAACTTCAAGCTGTCAGAAGAGAGCATTCAAGTGGAGACTTTAATACCCTGGCTAGAGATCCTGCCCAGCATTTATTATGTGAACAAAAAGAGAAGAGACACTTTCTTCTTACCTGAAAAGATAGTTCGTACCCTCCTATTTTTCCACTGAAAGGTATATCTCAAGTCAAATTTTGTTCTAGGGAGGAAAGCCTATAGTATATAAGAAAAAAATATTTAATATCTGACAAACAAACTTTATGAATTTAAACTAATGTAACAGTTTGTCACATTTTGGCTTGAATTATTGCTGGCAATTGTTTATTAACTGATGATTATTTTTAGTAGCATAAATACTTTATGTATTTATTAGAACAAAATGTGACATTTCCTGCTGTTTCTTCTTCAGCAATAACACAACAGCCTTTTGAAGGAATGACTGTAGCTTGAAAGGGTAGGGTAGAGAAGGAGCTGACTCAGGCTTAGTGTGTTTCCTCCATACTTGGTATGTGTCTTGCAGCTCTTTTGTTGAAAAGGGGCCTGAGGAAGTTAGTTGGAGTAATCTGTGAAATACAAAATAGAGGTTTATCTTAAAATAAGTAGTGTTACTACTCACTAAACCTGGTTTTCCTCAGAAAAATGCTGGAAGGCAGTAACAACTTATTTCATTGCTAAAAGATGCACTTGAAGTCTATTGTAAATATAGGAGAGTACAAATCAATGTATCTGATAATCTAGAAAAGCATCTTTGATGTTTAATTTGTCATTGGTAAGAGTAGGTATTATTTATATGCAGACAGGGTAAAGTGTTCTGTAATAAATATCTGAAAATATATTCACCTTCACAGCAGTTCACAGACATAGAGAAGTAATCTGTATAGTGTACCTGGAGCTGACAAGAAGGGCATTTTAAAACATGAAAACAGTCATGGTAACCTCAGCCCTGTTACTGACTCTTCACTTTGATATATGAGTTAGCCAGAAGTCCTTTTCCCGGAAAAAAAATAGCTCCTATCATAATATTTGGGATATCAGTTTTATTCAGCATGATTAGATAGCTTTCCAGACTTATTTAGGATCATGTACCTCTTTTTTCCATTCAAAAAGATCTGCACTAAAATTTTTTAATGAAAACTTCCTGTATTAGATATTCTTTCCCTGACTGTGTAAATCAGAGCACACGTTCCTTTATTTGGGGTAATTTTTACTTAAAAAATAATACTCATGAAAAGGTGACACTATAGACTAAATAATTTGTGCTGTGCTGGATGCCACACTGTTCTGTACTGAAGGTGGACTGAAGTAAGGAATCTTCGGGAATGTTCAGATTCGGAAGGCAACTTAACAATGTTCAATTTCAGATTTTCCTGTCTCAGAAATGGAAAAACAGTTGCCTTGAACAGACTGTAAGCAGGAATATCTCTCTGTTTCCAGTACTTCTCTTGTTTTGATTTTTCTACTAGAGGAATCATCTTCCCAGCATGAAGATATTATTTTGAGGCATGTGCCAAAGCCTCAGGAGTAAGGCTGGTCTTGAGGAAAGGAACGGATTTTCATCCCTCCTTGATCTCTCACCAAGGTCAATTTGCCACCAGTCTCAAGATCTACCACCACTCTTTGCTATTGGACACCCTTTGAAGGATAACTGGAGATATCTGTATGGTTTTTGCTCTCATCCTCTAGGCTGTGAAATACTGTTCAAAATCTCACTAGATTTTGAAATGGAAGGTCTAAGTACTTAGCTTCTTATGATAAAAAATTTTAATTAGCAGGTCAGTATTGCTTTCAATGGGCTGTGTGCAACTGCGCCCTTAGAAGCAAGTCCTCAGCTTCTGTTGCCTGGGAAAGAAATACTTACATATTCAAAATAACAGGTATTCAAAACTTCAAATATTTATTATTTTGTTATGTCCACAGGAGTATTTTAAATAAGCTTCTGTTCTGTCGTTTCTAAATTTTATTGTAGAGGAGTCGGTGCTTTCAGTGGAAAGTAAATAAAGACTGACAGCACTTCTAGTGTTCAGAAAAAAAAAAAGCAAGCTGTTCAAGGATGTGTAAAAATGCAGATTGACATAAATTGAGTCAATATTACAGAAACCATTCATGCAAAGCAGACAATAATGTCATGATAAACAATAGAGTGAATATAGGGAAATGACTGTTTTATTGATAGTGAGTCACATCATTCTTTTTTAACTGCTTGAACATTAGTGTATATTTGATTAAACATGGGAATTTTGGACATTATTTCAAAACAAAACCACTTCCTGTAGAATAAGCAAAAAATTAAAACCAAAGAGTGTCTTCTAGATTGAACAGTTTGAAGTATGACAAAGATAAATTATCTTGATCCTTAGAGTAATAGAAATTGATTTGTAGCGTGCCAGAATGTCTGATATTTTATTCTGCTTATCAGGTAAGGAGGAAAGATACCTGGATTGAAGATGAGGGTAGGAGCTCAAATCACAAAATTTATAGCTGGTTGGAGCTGAAGTATTTCTCTAGGCTTTCACCTTTTGCTCTATAAGTCTCTGCAGTCAGCAAAATGACTCTGTGCTTCTTGACATTAAATTTCACTGTCAGTTTTATTGCCAAGTGTCTTCCATTGTACCCCTTGTGGTGCTGTGCTTGCTTTCAGTGTCTTAGCAGATCCTTCCACTTTCCACTTGTCCTCATTAAGGCTAATGCACTTATTTCACAGTTGCCACTAAAAGATATGGAAGGTATGGAAAGACTTTCTAACTTAAGGATCACAGAAATTCTCTGTAAACATTACTGTGCTCTTTTACCTTGTTTTCTAAAGATTCCGAAAACAGGTTTGAATAAGCCAGTTTTAAAATGTCTCAGAAGTCTGGGTTTTGTCCTGTTCAGAGAGCTATACTTCTCAGGATTCTGCAAGCAATAAGAATTTTTTTTTTCTTTGTATTTTGCATAGTTTGTTTCCACCAGTGTATTTGATACCTTCCTTAATGGTGCTTGTAGAACCCATTAACCCTTCACAATTGGTGCAGTTTGGGCTCTCAAGTAACCTTTGTAATATCAACGTATTTTGTTACTTTGTAGTTCTCTCTTATTTCCCAAATCATTTCTATGTAGAACAGCACAGGCTGTTGATATTTTAATGATACCAATATCTGATTATATTCTGTTGCAAAACCAGACCACTTTATTCCTACTATTTTGTATCTGTTAGGTTCTCTTTCAAAGCAATTCTCTTCCATCGTCTCAGCTTATCTTCCTATAAATATTTTGTAAAGTATTCCATTTTTATTCCACCACTAACCTCATCTTCTGTGATGAAATAATTGAAATAGTTTCTTATTGGTGGGAGTTTTTATTTCCTACTGGTAGTTTAAGTTTATCTTAAACTCCTGATGAACGTCCAGGTTATAAAACACATTGCTGTGATAGAGTTTAGGTTTTTATGACTAATCAAGTAAGATTCCTATGTTCGAAGTCAAACTATAATTAGGTAGTAAGAATGACTGCACGTGTCCAAGCACTTTCTGTGTTCTCATCACATGAAAACTCTTTAATCACAATTGACAGTTGATGAGACATTCAGTCTTTCACCACTGAAAGACCACTGAAAGACTGAGTTGCATCCTACCTAATGTAATCTAATTACTTTATACAGATTTTACATGAGAAAAAGCACTACAAGGCAATCACAGATGAAACCTCTATGCCTGGTTTGAAATTCCTTCCATCTGGATCTCAGTTTATATGTAATCTCAAATGTACTTCAAAAAATTTAAATCCTGTCCTGTATCAGATTTCACATCTCTTTTTTAAAAAATTAGGGGAAATGTGGAAGGGTATGGAGAATATTTTTGTTCATAGCTTAAAGATAAGAAAACTTATGTTTTCTTATAGTTGCTCTGTCCAATATCAGTGACTGGATCTATGGGAACCCAGGCTTCTAGCTCTCAGAGAAAAGTTTTAGCTATTTTAAAAATACTGCTTATGTCATTTAGCACAAAGATGCCAGATTTATATACCATCACACATTTCAAAAGTGTAATGAGGGCAGAATTGTTTCTCTCACTGATAAAATATTAATATTGAAAACTGAGGTTACTCAGGAAATCATAAAAAGACAGTTCACTTGGAAAGCCATCTCAGACACATTCCACATCCCCCCTCTCCTACTGATTACATTAGTAACACATCATTCAGTGCATTAAGCATTACATTTAATAAACAGCAATGAAAATATTACTTCCTATATAGAACTTCAGAGGCAGTGGTGTAAGAAAAACATTGTTAGAAAACTTCCTGAATTTTTTGCCCTCTGCCTTCCTCAAGTGTATAAAAAAACAAGGTGTGTTTTGTTTTTTGCATCCCCAAATAAATTCTTCTCTTGTGCTGATGAGAAAGTAAAAGAAATTAATTGCTGAAAAAATCTCAGGCTACATCAATCAGCTTTTTTTTTCTGGAGGGTGTGATGGCAAATGTGTAATATGCGTGATGGAAAAGATGGCTTATCTTTTTTTCCTCCTAGTGCTTCCAAACTCATATCCAGAGGCCTGACATCCTGTCATCCTGCCTGACAATGCAGGAAGCTCCTAAAAAGAATTAGTAACCAGAGAGGGAGCTCCTCATACCTGATTGCTATGGGTGGAAAAGACCATTCAGTACATCTCAGCCTAGGACTGTGTCAGGTCCTTTTGCTAGAGTCCCTAGTTTGGCATTCATTGTATTTTTGTTATTGACTGAAGTAATTTACTACAGTTTTATGGTATACTGACCTTCCAAAGGTTGTCCAGCATACCAATAATGCACATAACAGGAATCTGTCTTTGTGGACCTTATGAAAAATAAAGGAGGAACTCAGGCACATACACTCTTCATGTTTAGATTAGGTAGAGGAAGTCATGGAATCGACACATAAATATCAAACCTGCTCTGAGTGGCCCAAACCATATTTTCACTGCTGCACTGAGAATTCCTGCTGAAAACATGTTTTCCTTTATTCCCTACCTCAACCACAAACCCCATATTTATGTCTGTATAGTCTAAGTACTATGAAAAGACAAAACTGCAGGGGAAACACCTGTGTATAAAAAGCATATAATTCTTAGCTGTGAAAGGTAGCAGGTGCAATTGTGTGTTTGTGTGTAAGGTTCTGGAGTGACTGATTCCCACTGTCCCAAGCAAAAAACTATCCTAGGACTGACAGATGTGACATAATCTGTACCGTGTTTTATTTTTCCTCATTTTATTTTGCAGTAACTTTGATAGTAGTATATTTTTTGTATACATCTATGCTCCAGATAGCTTTGCTACCAATGTAAATGCCATTTTTTTTCCATTAAGGCCATTATACTGCAGAGTTTCTTAAGGTATGGAGTTGTATTAAAGTATGTAGGAATACCTTCCTCGGATATTACATTGCATGAAATGATATGAGAATGTCTCTGATTTCATGAAGTTTCTGGTTATTGGGCCAAATAATGATTATGCAATTTGTGTTTTGACAAGAATCACTGTAAGAGAAAAAAATGAGGTAAGAGTACTTACTTGTCAGCAGATAAAGGCAGAATAAAATCAGCTTGTCAGATTCCATAGTTGCATCACACAAATTTCTTAATTTTTCCCTGTACTTCACCCAGCCTAAGTGAACCCTTGTATTCTCCCCAGATCACCAGCCTCTCCCACTGCTTGTACCCATACCTGACCAGAAGTAACAGTAGAGGATCAACTTCCCTCATTTCCTTCCAGTAATGCTTCCAACACTATCACGTTCCTGCATGTTCATGAACTGCAGTTCAATGACTTAAAAATGGTATTTTTAGTCAAGTTATTCCAAAATCACTAAACTCTGTAAGCTATTATAGAACAGAGTTGCTTGAATATTTGCTGGGCAAGGATGGTAACGGCTATTCATACCACTTTTCAGCAGTTTAGGAGCACCAAAATATGAAGCTTATTGGAAATATGTGGAGTTTTTATCCTCCAGGCAGAAGACGCATTTTATAGTCCTTGTTTGAAACTTTACCTGCTGTTATCCTTTCACTGTCTTGTTGTGATGACAGATACTTCTAGTAACCATTTCAATTCAAGTATTATAATGCTAAAGCTTCAGCTAATAACTCTTAAGGGTAACAGAATCCCCCTCGTAGGCCAAAACATGGCTAGGCTTTGCGAACGAAGATTTGGGGCCAAACAAAGATCTATCTAAACCAATACCACATTTCATGTCAATAGCATTTAGGCATTTTTTGATATTCTACCCAGCCTGCAGCATAACACAGCTCAAGAATAGGTGTTGTCTTGTGTATTTTTCTTCATATGAAAGGAACTAGCAAAATATGAAATTAATGTTTAAAGGTAATTGTTTTTATGAAGCTTTACTTTTTTCTAATATTTGCTCTAGAAAGAAATATGTGAAAAATCATTCCTACCTATCAAAATCAAAATTGTTAAAACCTAGACTTGGCGCAAATCTTAAAGTTGTAAGCCATCTAAGCAGGTTTTTTGCTAAATATATGAATGATTACTTTTGTCTTTTTGGGTTATTAGGATATTGTTGAAACACGATGAAATTACTGATTTAATTCTCTCTATATTGCTACATATGAAGTTTTATTAAGTTACTGAAAAAAAATAATATTAATGGTTATATGTTCTAGCAAAGATCATCTTTCCCTTTTTAAAAGTGGATTAGGGGAAAATAATTCTGATTCTTGTTTAGCTCTGTTACGTGCAACTAATATGAAATAAATTTAATCCATCTCTGTTTCAGGCATTAATTTTGTGACCAGTGATTCACAACAAGCTTTATTCTCTTGAAAATTACATTAAAAACTGTGATTATGACCTCACAAAAAATAAAAAAAATGACTAATCTTGAGTTATTTCTAAGAGGAAAAACCCAAGTTTGTGTTTCTAAAGAAAAAGTGCATTGGGAAAACAGGAATAGAAGAGGATGGCAAAATGAAACTCCTGGGCTTCATAAATCTGTTTCTGTGTGTCACTACTTTATTTGAAATATATCAGGGAGAAGACCTTTGGTAAGTAACTTCTCCTCACACTTCTTTACGAAAAGAAATACTGATATTGAACTAAATACTGAACTAAATGACCATGATTATTATCTATAACAGCCTCTTTCCTGTAAATTTAGATATCTACCAAAAATACTATATGAAATAAGAGTAAATGTCCAAAAGTCAAATATGGTTCATTATCATAAGAGAAACTTACAAAGTAAACGTAAAAGCTATATACTATCAAACTGCAATGCCCACAAATAATACATCCATGTTTGTGAGAAAAGAGAGTATTTTCTGTTTGCTGACTGAGAAAGGAGATATTTACAAAGACTTTTAATTTGTTGCTTTTCTATCTGCAGAGTGATTGTAGTGTGGAAATGGATTTTCTGTTATATTAAACATAAAGGAATAGTTCAGGGGGGGTTTCTATTAAGAATAAATTGCTTTTGTTGTTTATTAATTTAGAAATGTTTATAAACTAATGGGCCTTATTAGACTCAGAAAAAATTCATTGTATTGACAAAATATTTAAATGGCTTGAGACAAACTTGCAATTTTGTCACCACTGCAAATAACAGAAATGTACTAAAATAATTTCCATTCTTTACATCAGAAATATCAGTTAATATAGTCAGATATGCTGTAATTAAGTGCCAGTGAACATGAATAGTCTTTTACTATAGGCAGATGTAAAATGACTACTCCAAATAACATATTCCTTTTTATTTTTCTAAGTTGTAGGTAATTGGTTCATTTTTTGGTTGTTGCATGCATTCTTAAAAGTCCAGAGGAAAACAAAACTACTCATATCTGCTGATATGTCCCCTTTTTTATATGCTTATTTTTATATTTTAGACATTGAAAAAAAATTTAAGTCATCTCATGGTTTCCTCCTGAATATGTATAATTCTTGCACATATTACATTTCACTTCTCCTAAAAGATTTAAAAAAACCAAAAAACCAAAAAAAACCCCTACCAAAAAAACCCAACAAACCAAAGTTCAAGTTTTGGGAAGAAGGGACTGGAAAAATTGCAAATATCCTTCAAATCTCATTCTTTATAGAAGTATCCAATAGTGAACATATTTGCAAAAAAGCAAAAAAGGATTGGTTTCACCATAGACTTAAGTTGTGACATATATACAGAGAGAGATATAGATATATATCTCAGATATATAGATAGATTATATACTCAGATATAGATATATCTCAGTATATATGTCAGATACTCAAGAAAGTCAAGAAAGATCTTAGCGAACCAAGTCTTAGTAAGTAGATTTGTATAAAAGTAGAAGAAAATGTTCCTCTGTTTTGGTTTTTTTTTTGACTTTGTGCAATTCTTCTTTTTCACTCCCATTTTCAGTGGTTAGTTAATTTTTATAAAAGTTTTAAAACTCAACAAATTGCCATTTTTTAAAATAATCATGAATGCTACCCACTACCATATTCAAGCACTACAGCTGCATTAATAGATAGCAAAAATAGAAAGCAAAATCCACGTGCTAAGAATAACATTCCTAAGTATTCAGAAGGAAAAATTCTATGAAATGTGATGTTCTCTGAAAAATCTAACTTTATTGTCCTTTGGTTATCTCATACAGCTCAGTCTGATGCAAGACTCCTGAATTAGGACCAGGTTTGGAACTAAAGAGGCCTTGTGTCATTATGACACACTCAGCCTCTTAACTCAGCGCTGAGCGCATCAATATTGGCTTCAGCAACTGCACACTTCTTATTTGTACTGTATAGTCCTATCAGATCACCTCTATTGTATTTGGTTCTGTCACCGGGATCTGACAGCCTCCTAATCTCTGAGGAAACTGCCCACTCCTAGTTATTCAGTTATATTAACTCAAGAATAAAATTATAAGTAACTAATTCACAAATATAAGATAAATTTGCATAGCTGAATACTGGACCAGAAGAAATTTAAGGGAAGGACAAGAAAAGCCTTATGGTCCCACAGTGTAATTGCTCATTAATACCCAGCAGCAAACTGGTAAGTCCCAAAGAAGTATCCCCATTCCTCAGTTAGATGTAAGCAGAGTTATTTTTGCATGACCATTTTCCTCCTGTGTTGGTTCATTGCCATTGGTAAATTTGTTTCTTTTTTTTGTGTGTGTGTGAGAAATACTTGGTCGCCTAGTCTATATTTTGCTCTGGCCTGGTTGGATTTAGGTGGAGTTCAGGGACAGGCAAGGGAGAAAAGTTTCAGGGATTCAAAAATGTGTTTGTTCTGCTATGGTTCTGTCAAGGGGCATCAACATGTTGTCTTAATGGAAGTTCTGTGGCACTTTTCTGTTGCACTTAAAATGCAGCTAAACTAAAATATGTTCTGTAGATAAACAAAAACAGTTTCATGGTATATCTAATAATTAATAGACTTAGTTATAAAGCCTAATACATAAAGGAACAGTATATGGATAAAGAAGCAGAGAGGTTGAACAATAGCAGAATTGTTTTTTTTTTGTTTCACTACAAGGACTTCTCAAGGCTGACGTAGCTTGCTGCACTTTAGCAGAGCTGAAGCCCTTCAAATACAAACCTTGTTATGACACTTGCTTTGTGCTTCCCTGATCCCATTCTGCTACCTGCCTTACCTGAGGGGAAGGTTTTCTCCTGCCTTCTCAAAGGGCTCCTATTGCTCCTAAAACTTCATACCTCCAAGCTGTTTAGGTGAAGAGGTTTCTAATAGGCAGCCTGTTACTAAGTAATGCCACGGGTACAGTGGAGCAGCAACTCTTTCTGCTTCTTTAAATTTAACAAAACTTTAGAGATTGATTGCACTTTGATGTTGTTGGCTATGTTCTTTTTCTAGTCTGTTTTATTTAGTAGACTTTTAATAAAAATAATTAAAGACATTATTCAGTTTAGTAATGTAATCTGTCATGCAGCTTTGCATTGATTGCAAAAGTATACAGTTTAGTCAGCTGTATAATCAAGATCTAGCATCAAGTGAAATGTGCAGCAAAGATACAGATCAAAAACAGATGTGAGGAGGAAAACAATGAGGGAATAGCAAGGTAAAGTCACACCCTATTTTGTGAAAATAGAAATTTTGTCTATGTAAGAAACTGAAAGAATGGAACTAGAAGAACTGTAGAGTAAAATGGATGGGAACAGAGGCAGGGAGGTAAGAAAGGAGAAATTTCCAGGCATAGAAACCAAGGGGTGCAATAGATAAGAATAAAAGAAAATCAAGACTACTCTTCTGTTTAATCACAGTTATGCTTAAAACAATGATTAATCTCTCATGACTTTGTAAGTAAACTACAGAGCCCTGTGTTAATTTAATACTGCACACAGCCACTCCCTTTCTTTCCTTATGCTCACATGCAGCCAAAGTGGGGTAGATGCAGCAGTGAGGGGCAGGCTCAAATTCTCTGATTGTTCATGGTGAGCAGTGTACAAAAGGACAACAGCAGTGCAGTGACACACAAAAGAGGTAACCTAGATATAGAACAATGCATTATCTTCCTTTAGGCAACTTTCAGGTGTCTGTGTTACGTTTGAAGTTCACCAGTCAACTCAGTTTAGGACTTCACTGTGTAGTGTCTGTTCTGGGAATTGCAGCTCCTATGCCCTACAGATGCTTATGCGGTCACTAATGTACAGGAAGGAATCTTTTATATTTTCCTAGTCATTGTATTCTGGTAAAAGAAAGTGATCTGTGTTCACTGTAAGAGTGAAGCAAATACAACTGTTATAATTTCTACATTATTCCTTCCTTTTCAGTCTTTTAATTGTTCATATGATAGTTGGGGAGAGGGAAGGAAATCGAGTAGTTCTCTGTTGTTCTGTGATTTCTGCTCCATGGCACCAAATCAGACAACTGTTATATATTTTATTACAATATTGTGATGGTATAGTGCTTTCTGGGGTGGAATCAAGATCACTGTTTCTTCTCCTTAAAGATGTTAGTCAGCTTTGAGGAGGAAGTGGAGAAAAACATAATTATCTTGTTAAAATTCTGCAACAGGAATTAAAAGACAAATGACTATCAGAGTATTAATAAGCTCTGAGTTACTCTATCTGTAAGTTACATGTACTGTAACTAATCCCAGCATGGAGCTTGTAATTTCAGGATAAAAACATAACTCACCCTTGGGTTTGTCTGTTTTCAAACTGTCTCATTTATGCTATTAAATACAGTGTGTGCACTTTAGACAGACAATTAATTTTTAAAAAACATTATCTTGGAGTGAAAAAATGTCTCCTGTAATTCTTCTGCCTTCAGTATTTCTTCTGAAAATGCCAGTGCAATTTAAAATATTTTTAAAATAATTATAATCCTTGGTTTTGGAGCATGTAAAACAAATGAGATTCCTAGATTAAACTTTTCAGTAGTGCTTGACAAATTAGATTTTAAATGTGGTTCATTTACAAATGCCTGTTCAGTTTGAATTATTTATTATGGTGAGAGGAACATTTATATTCATATACTGAAGAAATAAAAGCTGGCTTAATATGTCAATTACTAATAAAGTATTTACAGAAAATATTCAAAATATACTGATAACGTAGAGTTTTAACATGACTGTTAAAACACGTCTCTGGGAAATAAGAGAAAGGTCTGTTGAACTAAGAAATTAATTTATTGTAATAATAAGAATCTGACAAATGCAAAGAAACTGTACCTAAACTATTTCCCCCCATCTCATTGAACAATTCTTCAGTGTCAGTACAACACATATTGCAGCATGCAGTCATTTTCAGGCTGGCAGTTTTACAAAAATTAGCAAGCATTGGGTTTTCTGCAATGTTGTTATATTTATTGAGACTCAGTTCCAGCTGGGGTCTGAGTGGGCACTTTCTATTGTTAGATCTATGGCCTTTTGGGAATATTTCTTAAAAGAAAATTAAATGCTAAAAAAGTGATATGGCAGAAATGTAATTCTGTTGTTGCAGTTTCTCAGGAGAGGTGTTGGGGTTTTTTGTCTGTAGTCCTTAATAAATTCCAACAGAAAGACTATAAACAATGGTCTCTAGCATAATTTTGAACTAGCCTGTTTAATACAAGATTGATATTCTTATAATAATCTCCACATTGGAGATATTAATTGTTTATTTAAGCATTTATTTCAAACTCCTACTATCACCTGGGGAAGAGGGAGAGTGAATATAACAATATTTTCTAGTCTTTTGTTTGTTTCTAAATCTTCCTTTAGACAGATTTTCTTTAATAAATACCAGATCTTATTTCTCAAGATAATTCGGATGAAAATCTAACATATATTAAAACTCTAAATTGATAAAAAATTATGAATATGACCTCATTTTGATTTTTCCTGATAATATTGGTAATTAAACTTTTCCTATACTTACTCTTCTTCACCATTAGGCATGAAACAGAATTCCCTGTGAATACTTACAAACTTTAGAATTTGTTTTCAATGAGAAATTACAAACAAAAGTTTATTCAGAAAATTAAATTTATTGTTCCAAACAAAGAAGCAAGCAAACTGATTTAATATCAACTAACTCTTATCATCATGATGATTTTTTTTCTAGAAAATAAAAGGTGCATAACTTTCAGCAAAAAATATAACTGGGGAAATATGCAACGTTCAGTGCACAATTCATTAAAAGGAAAAAGGAAGAATTTAGAACAATTTGTTTATTGCAATAAAGGTGTGTAGTGAAAGACAAATGTAAGCTGAATTATTGATAGTAATATGACTGAATTCCTCTTAATGTGATATATATTTACATCTTAACCTGCTTTGACCTTGGCTTGCATATATCACAGTTGAATTTAATTGATATATGTCAATAAGTTTATTAAATATAAGATCAATTACTTTCTTATTTTTTAAAATTTTCATGTAACTGTCAGTGTCATTTGTAAGTGATTTATTATTCCTCCTTTCCCCTCAAAGTAATTTAGGGTTAATAATCAGTAAGTTAAGGTTAATATCTGTGAATCTTATAATGTACGATTAATGATATGAAGTTGACATTTTGAACAAAGTCCTCTCAGATCATGAGAGAAGCAGATACTTGTGAATTCAAGATCCTTGCTATTTATTAGAACAGACAGTGACATTACAAGATGGGTGCCTACTAAATGTGTTTCAGGGAGGATAATAATCTCTGCTTAGTCCACAGGGGCAAATACCAAAGAGTCATCAGAACAGGTGCTGAGGAAACATTAGTCACCTAGGAGGAATTCTTCAACTAAATCCCAGTCAAATTTCTGAACAACTTCTTCAAGATATCATTCTCTGGTGGACAAAATTATAAGGACAGTAATAAAAAGTGATCACACAGCTAGAAAACCACGTCAATGATTATTAAGTTCTATCCTAAAATAATACAGGGTAAAAACAGGCACCTATTCATCACAAAGTGCTGGATGAAAATGTTAGTTCATGAAGATGTTCTTTTTCTTACAGAGTCACACACAGAACCCAAAATCTTGCTGAATTGAAAAGAAAGCCCAAGCCACATTACAATTATATAAGAAAAGATTCAGGACAACAGCTCAAGATTTGAAGGACTGGGAACATGTGATCATGCTTTTATGTCAAGCTGAATAGTACCATAGCAAAAGAAAAACTTCAATAGGAATTTACAAAGCGAAAGAACATAACAAAAACTAAAAGCAAAAGTACAATGAAAAGTTGACCAGAGGAACAAATTTACAGAAAAAGGAAGATAATGAAACAGAAATGATAACTGGAGAAGAATGGTCAGTGAAAAACTCATTTTCTGTCCTCTTGAAAAGATGAGAGTTCCAGCTTGTGAACTATTCTGTTGTACACCAGTAAAAATAAATAGTGCTATTTAGTCATGAAAAGTGGAATTGAACCTGTTACTTCCCTTCAAACTTTATCAAGAAAAATAAATGCTGTGAGGAAAAATTTTATTTAGAGTATACAAAAGCTGGGGAAATAACAGCTTGAGCTATATAATGAAAATAATTCTTTAAAAAATGAGCTACCTCTCCCCCTTAATCACAATGTACAAATTTGGTTAAAATTCATCTCTATGGGTAGCTAAGTGTTTCCTTTTTGAGGTCTATGAAATATACTGTGGAATATGTGACAACCCAGTAACGTACTCTGAAAGAATATATGAGGATTAAACTGAAGTTATAGAGGAAGACACATGGTTTTTGGTAACAATTTACCTCTTGGTAGTCCAGAAATTCAAGCATTCCTGTTAAAAAAAAAAGTACAGCATACTTTCACATATTGTACTTCATGAGTTACCTAATAGGGAAAGAGTTATCTTAACTAGTTTTTCCCTGACATTATCCACTGGATTGACTTTTTTCAAATAGATCCTGATATTAGTTGGATATAAGATAACAAGATCTTGATATAAGCAAGAAATCCCAATATTAGCTAAAATAAGAAAAGGCACTATTAACCATCATGACTAGTTTTGAGAAATTTTAATGCTCCCACATTAAATTCTGAATTTAAAAAGGTAAGTCATCACACAATTTTATGTTTTTAGGCTGTGCAATACTTCCTTTTAGTTTTGCAGTTGTTTTATTCCCAAACAGCATGTAGACACAGACAAAAAAGTAAATATAAGTAATTGAACATATTGACAGCTATTAAATGGTAATTATATCTCACTAGAGCATGGCTGTTTGGTAGCTGCAGAACACAAAACATAAGCCTGATAGTCAAAGAAACACTTTTGCTGTTTGGTGCTCTTGCCTGCCTTTCATACTGTTCCATTTTCTGTCCTGTTGCTTGAGCATAATTTCCTATCAATTTCCATAAACAAATAGAGTTTTTAAAGCCACTTCAAAGTTATCTAATAATTTAATTTGTAATTGCAAGATCTTTGCTTCAGTGGATCTATTGCATCAATCAGCACTGAAGCAATTACTTAATTTGCAGTTATACATTAAATTACATAATATTTACAAAATTAACATTCATAAACAAAAAATTATAACTTCACGAGAAACACTGTAATTCTGACAATGATAAGGAGTGCAAATATTTCCTCTTGAAAAATGCCAAGTACACGACAGTAAAATGCTTATAGGCCTGGAGGTGCAATGGCTGTCTGAATCCAACTTATTTACCATCAATGTGATCAATACTTTAACTGAATTAAATTAGATAACACTGTGTTAATGAATGACCTTTACCTTGTCTGTCTTTTCATCCAGCAGTTAATGATAAATTGAAATACATACTCTGAATAAAAAGAAATTAAATTGAATAGTAAAAGCTATAGGCTTTTACTCCAAGCTTGCCAGATAGCTATGGACTTCATAGCTAAGGGCTATGAAGCATGCTTCAAATTGGTCTTCTCTCTGCTGGTACAGGGTGTTTTTTGAGTTTACTGCAGAGGATTTCATTACCCAGCAAATGATTCACCTTAAGGGTGAATATTCAGAACAGCTTCATTTCTGTTTTTGTATACCTGCAATTCAGATAGGTGTTCATTAGAAATACAGTTTACTGTAATCATATCCATCTTTTTTCATTACTTTTATTAGTTACAAAACATAGACTGTTGCTCAGGGCCATTGCAGACAGCAGAAAAAGTTGTATCATTTCTTCTCTGAAGAGTATGTGGTCATTTTATCTGTCCAGTTGATGTCTTTCTGGTAACAGGAGATAAGTACTGGAAACTTTTGAATTGTTGAGAATTTAATCAAGAAATTATATTTAGTCAATATATAATTTTCACAAAAATCAAACCATAATTAAGTAGCAGTAACATTATGGTATTCCATCTATGAAAAATCACTGAAAATAATCCTCAATTGTAAATTCATTTGCTTACATGAGTTCTGTAGAAGTTTTCTCAGTTTGTCTAAGAGGAATTACAATATAAGATAAAGGCCAGAACATAAGATTGGACTTGTGGTGTCTGGAACTGAATTTGTAGTTTGCTAGAAGCAAGTCACATATAGCAAGAAAGATCAGTGCTCTTTTAAAAATTGTTTTCTATTATACAGGATAAGGATACAGATTTTCTACTGGCTTTGACAGAATGAATAATATCCACTGTAGACAGACACAGCAAGATGCATTTTGGCTGATATTATTTTACCAAAGTGTGCTCCTTTAAAGCAAATCAAAACTCTGAAGTAAAATGAGACTCCCACTTTAGCAGAGTGACTGAAATGTTCTGTCTAACAGTGGAATCATCATCATAATAAAAAGCATAGTTCATTTTGTCTTGCAGAATTGACTTTCTCAACTTTTTGTGTTTTTTACCTTGGAAAATCAGGTCTTTTTTCCACACACTGACTTATTTTTCCTTTTGCTCTAAAATGTATTTTTGAAAGACGACCCAAAATTTGTTCTGAATGCAAACACGTCAGATGCCTAAGCTATCCCAGTTTTAGGTAATGTCTTCCATAAACTTATGCAACATTCATCAAGAACATGCTTTAAGTTCACAAGGAGTTGATCTTTTAAATAATCTTTTGAAATAAACTGAAATCCCTGTTTTATATAATGGGAAAATAGGTCCAAATAGTCACGTTACTTGTATGGTTGCTAATCAGTGCAAAGAAATGGCATCTTCAGATTCTCTGCTTTACTATCATAATCTTACCATCCTTCCATTTTGGAATAACTATAAAAATGCCTCATACATTTCTGTCACACATTTTTAAAAGTCAGATTTCCAACATTTTATGGTAGCATCGTACTTAGGGAAAAGGATCGATAACATTTCCTTTTTTCCACTCTTTTGCTGCTGAAAGGCGATTGTCATTAGTGAAAAGGTCTGCAAACATGAAAAAATTTCTTTGATGGACAAAATGACTCATAAAACTTCAATGATTATTTCATTAAGAATTTGTATAATCCCACATATGTTGGAATTAACATAATGATATGGACCCAAATTTATTGGTTTTAATAGACAAAAAGCTGCAAAACTCTTCAGTGAAAAAAAGGTTTGATCACAAGACCAATGAGGAGATTACACAGCCAGAAACTCTTTCTTGAAATATGGCCAAAATTTCCTTTCTTAAAACTGTCTGGTTGGAATATTCATAGTATCTAGATCAAGGTCTTGCTAATCAAATAATCATTATTTTAAGATTTAGTCTGAGTATAAGGTAATGTTCCGTTGGACTCTTCTGTTAGCTAAATCTAATGACATTAAGTTGTGCTTTAAGAAGGAAAGATAGTAACTTACTTGAGCACGTGGACAGGATAAGACAGTGAGTCCAAGGATATGCTTCTTAAGTAAAATTATTTTAGGCAAATTATGACCTTAATTCAGATTTAAAATGAGGAAATTTTAATTTAATAAATATATTTAATTTTATGTTGAATTTGCATTTATTTTTGAGAGAGATCATCAACTTATTGTGTACAACAGTTTTAGTTGATACATGCAAATTATATGGGGCCTCTGGTGGTCTAGTGGTTAGGGTGCAGGACTCTCACCGCTGTGACCCGGGTTCGATTCCCAGCCCCCCCGGGCAGATGGAGCTCGTCAGCCCTGTGTGGCAATCCATCTAAGAGAAGGTCACTCTAAACAAACCTACGTCCTGGGGACCTCACTGCCACTGTCCAAGCTTGCTTGGCCCCGGCAGATGAACCTCAGGATTAAAGGGTGGGCTCAGTTCAGCGCACGCTGGGTCTCACCTAAAAAATCCACTGCGCAGGCTCGAAGGGTCAATGACCTTTCCCAAATCTTCGCTCGCGAAGACTGGCCATTATTATTATTATTATTATTATATGCCTGACACAATATATAATGTAGCACTGAGACTGCTTTTCCTCTGTTAAATTGGTTTATATTGCTTCAGCAGAGCTCAAAATTATTAGAAGGAGACAACTGTAAGAAACACAAGAAAATGAAATTTATTAACCTAGATAGAAAAAATGTAAGAACAAGGATTACAACACATAAAAATTATGAGTAATTTTAGGAAATACGTGGAGTAATAATTACTTTTTTCCTCATATTTATTGATGAGATGAAACATAGTTTCTTTCTTTTAAGCAAGATAATTATGGCTGGGCTTCGCGAACTAAGATTTGGGAAGGGTTCTACCCATGTTTGTTACAAGCGCGCTGATGGCTAAAAAGGCCAATATGAGATAGACACATCCTATTGCAAAAGGCACAGCAGAAAGAATCCTTAAGGTGGTATATTCTGCAAGGCATGATTCTTTCTGCGTTGTTCTGCAAGGCACAATTCTTTCTGCATTGTAAGCAAGATAAAGAATAACCCAGATTTGACATATTTACTAGTTCTCCAAAAGCTCTAGTTTTTTAACCTCTTCAGAGATCAATCAGGACAGCCAAATCATTAGTGTGTTCTTGTTAACAAATGTTACTGTCTCTTCTATGGCATTTCACTCAGCCTTTAATTAGCTAAAACATGTAACTGAGCTCCAACAATTATCGCCACATTAATCTGAGTTAATTTCTGAGCAGAAATAGCTGTCTGGAGCCCTGTATCAGATTATATGTTGTAGCATTATCTGCAATACATTTTCTCATGAAGTAGCAGTGAGCCAGGCTGACTAATAAAAAGGAAAAAAAATTATAGCTCTTGCTGTCATTTGGACAATAATTATATTATTCCTATCAGAGTCTCTGTTTCCTTTCTTAAAATTAATTAATTTATCATTCTATAGTTAGTAAAATGTTTAAGGAGGATTCAATACAGTTTAAGAAACTGAAAACAGTAGTCAGTGGTCAGTTTTAGACACACAGCAATCACAACAAAAAAAGGAATACATTTTTGTGCACCCTGAAATGTAAATTTAAGTTTGTATTGGATTTGCATGTCAGTCCCATGGTGGTTGGGGAATTACAGGGATGGTTTCTGTAAAAATCTGCCAGAAGCTTCGTCTGTGTACAACAGAGCCAGTGCCAGCTGGCTCCAAGACAGACCCACCACTGTTCAAGGCCAAGCCCAACAACAGTGGTAGCGCCTCTGGGATAAGGTATTCAAGAAGTGGTAAAAAAACCCCAAACACCACAGGTGCAGATTGAGAGAGAAATGAGAATATGTGAGAGAAAGGGCCTTGCAGGCACCAAGGTCAGTGAAGAAGGAGAAGAAGGAGGAGGAAGTGTTTCAGGCACCAGAGCAGAGATTACCTGGAAGCTTGTGGTACAGACCATGGTGAAGCAGCTAAGACAACCGCTCATTACACAGTGTGATGCTGGAACTGCCAATAAATGCATAGTTGTTTGCCATTGTTCATTTAATGTGTTTTTAAAGCTTCAGAGTTGACTTAAAACCTTTGTGCCAGACAAGTGCAGCAAGCAAATTATTAATTGTCAGGGAAGGATCCATTGAAAAATTCTCCTCTGTGAATTGTCCAACTGTTAAGTGAAGGATTATCACTTCTTACATGATGCTCACTCTCAGAGCTCAGACGTGCTATATGGATCAAGCTGACAACTTTCTGCAAGTTGTGAGCATCACCAGTTGAATCATTTTGCTTCTGTAGTTCTGTCCTGCTTGTATACTTTCAGGCTCAGCACCCACAAATAGTCCATTGTCATATCACTGGAAGTATTTCATCTCTTGACAAACTATTTTTCATCTGGACTAGTGACCTCTGTAAGCTTGCATTGATCTCCTGGAAGGAGAAATATAGTATGCCCAGTGAAGAAAAGAGAAATTAGGCAATGAAAGACAGAAGAATACCAACCAGGTTGCAAATCTTCTAATGTTTAATGACTTTGACCTGCTTTGTTATCAGTGACTTTACCAGGGACTTTTGTGTGCTGCAGATAATTATGCCGACTTTTTTTTTCCCCCTAAAACTGTTGTCTAATTATGTTCCAGAATCAAACAGTTTAAAACATCTGAATATGCAAACACCACATTTAGTTTCTCTATGGAAGGTTACCATAAGCCTTTAAAATATAGAATTTTTTCACTGCTTCAGAAACTGAAAGATGAATGATATAAAGTGACTTGTCAGATTTAAATAAATGGTCAGAGAAAGGAGTTAAGAGTTCATGTCTCACTACTTTTAGTCTAGTATTCTTTCTATTGAATCCTCCTTTTTGCCAGCTTTTAAAATAATTATGTCATAGATATTGGAATTAATGAATTGGGGGCCACCATAATGTGTATGGAATTGTGGACCGATAATAATTCCCAGGAATTTTGTGTGGTTTTTAATCTAGAATGTTTCACTAAACAATGGATTACAGTGCACAAGCAGAGTTCATCTGAAGCAAGCTACTTGTGTGCACTCTGTGCATCAATTATTAGCAACTTTGTTAGAAAGTACAGCACAAAGGAATCGGTGAGATACTAATGATGCCTAAATATTCTTAGCAGTTAG